ACCGCCCAACTCTCATCTCTACAACTCCTAGAACTAGAAAGTCACAGAGAGTATGTGTTCCCATCCAGTGTCGGGCTTTCGCTTTTCTCGTACCGAGATTGAGCATCATATATCTTTTAGACAGAAGTATCCACACATGTTTCTATTGGGTCCATCAAGCCTAATACCTTTACAAGCACTATAGTCAGTGTAATATAATACAGAATGGCAAGAACTCGGTTGTCGATCCTTTGTATTACTAGACATATATAGCCAGCCTCACTTGTCTATAGACCAGTCAGAACTAGATAAGCGATAGCACCATTGTCGCTGCAGCCACCTTTACTTCCAGTAACGAGCCCTGTCTCTGTATTGTGAGTCATTGACTCTTTATCAATCTTCGGATAGAAAAACTGGAGCTCTAGAATTGAAATGCTATCGTGAACCAAGAAGAATAAAAACACCGACATCTTACAGAATCTAAACATGAAGGGAATTTGGCTCATAAACAGCATCCTGTCCCGAAAACTGATGTTGGCAATGTTAAGCACCATGGTGGCCTGGAGAGAACGGTGATGGAAGGTGCAGTTTCTAGTAAATGAGGCAGAAGCTGACCACCGTGAAGGTGAATACAAAACATTGAAGATTCATTGTCAAAGAAAGCACATAGGGTTGGAGAATTGACTAGGGAAAGAGAGACTTTCAGATGTGCCGTGCACAGAATGACGTTCTGTAAAGGACTTGGTGATTGATGGTGATCATGTTATTCTATATTAATCTAAGTAAATTTGAAAGCCAAGGTATGTTTAATTACGGCTCCGTAGAGATTCGGCGAACGGTGAGGAAAATTAAAACTTAATTATTTACAATAATAATAACATTAATGCCACAACATTCAGCTTAAGAATGGAGGTGGAGGCGGGTCACTGCAGCCTTCCGCTGGTTAGAGAACACGACACACACACACATTGTGACTGTAACTGACTTAGAAAGCATGCTAGGGAAGGTCAGAACATGCTTGCTTCGTGCAGAGTGGCATGCTTCACTGCGGAGGACACAGGTGATGTGTATTGTCTGGAATTTTTCTCCGGGACACGCCGGTGTGTTGGGAAATGAACAGATGGACAGACTGGCTGGCTCTGCACAACTTTGTGGAATACTGATGCATGATAAGACAGACGTGGTTAGGGCCTTTTGGGAGAGTGTGAACAACAGTCTGGAGGAACAGATGGATCACCAAAGTCTAATGTTATTGATGCATCGGGGAGTGGAGAGGGGTTCTGGCGGATGCTCGAGGCTCAGAGGACAGGCAAGACGGACGTTTAATCAGAATGCTACTAACACCATTAATATTGGAACTCTGGGCTGGCTGCTGAAGATGGGGACGGAACGCTTATGGGAATGCTCCGAGTGCAGTGATGTTAGGTCTTGAATCAGCTCAACTCCGAGTAATGCGGAATATTGCAAATAACAGCTTATCTTTTATTTCATGTATCGGCTGGGTTGAGATGGCAGGAAAAGAAAGGAACTAGAGAGGAAACACACAGCCATACTGAGAACCATCGCCCCTTCGCCTGCACCAGCTAAACGATGTGAAGTAGAGAAACATACACTGCCGTACTTTGTGGAACTCCCGTAGATGAAGAGCTCTCAGTTGATGCCCCAGGCTAGCTGGGGCTGGAGTCTCTAAGTGGGGAAATATGTCTGTCTGTTTATGTGAGTGATTTGATTTTCTTGGGTAAATATTGTCTTTGTGTGGGCTGTTAACGGCGCACACGGTCTGTCTGCCTTTGAGAAGGTGTCTTGTATTTTAGAGAACTGTCTGTCTTTTGTAGAGTTGTAGTGGCGTAGGGGTTAGCCAGCTGGGTCATCAATTTCGCCAGCCGCCCTTGTCTAGGTTCTAAGGTCCCATTTAAGGCGAAAAAAGAGGAGGGGGGGGGGGGAGGAACAGGCCCACTATTCACTAACAAGCATGTCGTAGAAGGCGGCTAATTAGTAGCAGTCCTAAAAGGAGAAACGGCTTAAACCCATGCAAGCAGGCACGCAACTGATGTCCTGTTTTTTTCTAGGTCATGAAATAGAGACTGCTGTCTTGAAGGCGAAAGAATAAACTACTGAACCACATCAGTAATTATAACTGTTATCAAAACAGACGCACGGACACACACATACACACCCAAGAGTGTGTTTTACACCTGAGTGAGTCAGCTGACATGTTTATTATCTGAAACATCTTGCAAGTCATGGGCAAGACTGAAATCTCGAAGTGTTGAACATCCTTAAAAGTGCAACACCGTGTGGTTGTATAATGCTTGAGTCTGGGCAGCTACATCTTGATACGTGTGGGTATATAATGATGCGCTGATTGTGTCTGCAGAGCTACATCTTAATATGACTCTCTGCAGAGCTACATCTTAATATGACTGTTTCTGCAGAGCTACATCTTAATATGACTGTCTGCAGAGCTACATCTTAATACGACTGTTTCTGCAGAGCTACATCTTAATGTGACTGTCTGCAGAGCTACATCTTGATACGTGTGGATATATAATGCTAAGCTGATTGTGTCTGGGGAGCTATGTCTAGATACCGGTAGATATATAATCCTAAGCTGATTGTGTATGCTATTCTGTGCAATATTTCTATGTTAATTGAGTCGAGAAAGTGAATTTTAAAGAGCCAATTCCATCATATTCTGATTCAGGGAAGTAAATCATCTACAATTGGACGATTAGTTAAAACCAATTTGGGAGCAGCGGAGATGTGGTTTGATAGACAAATGTTAGGAATACAAAAAGCAGAAATAAAAAAGAGCAACAAAGATGTATAGAAAAAAACTGACCCACGAAGAGAACTGATTGTCCACATTAGAAGGAGGCAGTCTACATTCTTTGGTTATGTTATGAAAAGGGGCAACTGAATTACATGGTGATAGTGAGAAAGCTGCAGGGGAAAAGAGGCAGAGGCAGACCAAGAGAGAAGATGTTGGGCAGATTGACATAATGGCTTAGACGATCATCCATGTCAGAACCGATTAATAGTACACCCGACAGAAGGCTGCGGATGTGACGTGACTTCCCACGCCACCTGGCGTCGACTATAAGAAGAAGATTGTATCTGGAGACACATATCTGGCGAAGTGTGGGTATATGATACTAAGCTGATTGCATCTGGCAACGTGCGTAGGAAAGTTTGGGTATACGATGTTGTGTCGATTATATCTGGGAGAACTAAGTCGATTACAGATAGATAGTCACTCGTGACCTATGGTCACTGCATGTACAGACAATTGAACATCCCCACTGAGGCACACTGACTGTCGCAACAACAATTAAAGACACAACAACAGACGTAATAATGCATAAATATTAAATTGAAGTAGATGGACAAGAAGAGGATGTTAACCAATCGGTTTGGAAACGGCTGGAGATGTTGATGCACAAGGAAAAGACACGTGGGAATTGCAGAGATGCAAGACCTGAGCAACTTGCCCAGAATGCGGTAGGGAGAAAGAAAAACAACACTGCCAGTCCTGTGAGAAACAATGGCGACACGGTAGAGTGGTTAGAGAAATTTAGAGTACATAACAACCGCAAACTTGTTAGAGAAACAGAGAATAGAAGAAGAGAAAACACACAGCAGACTTGTTAGAGAAATAGAGAATAGAAGAAGAGAAAACACACAGCAGATTTGTAACCAAAAAAAAAAAGAGAATGGAAGGGAAAAAAAACACACACAGCAGACTTGTTAGAGAAATAGAGAATAGAAGGAAAAAGAAAACACACAGCAGACTTGTTAGAGAAATAGAGAAGAGAAGAAGAGAAAACACACAGCAGACTTATTAGGAAAACAGAGAGTAGAAGGAAAAAGAAAACACACAGCAGACTTGTTAGAGAATTAGAGAATAGAAGGAAAAAGAAAACACACAGCAGACTTGTTAGAGAAACAGAGAATAGAAGAAGAGAAAACACACAGCAGACTTATTAGAGAAATAGAGAATAGAAGAAGAGAAAACACACAGCAGACTTATTAGAGAAATAGAGAATAGAAGAAGAGAAAACACACAGCAGACTTGTTAGAGAAATAGAGAATAGAAGAGTCGACAGACACCAAAGATTTTGGAGAAATACAGAGTAAACGCAGTTTTGTTCAAAGAGAACAGTGTACACAAACACAGCAAACGGATTCGGGGGTTGGGGAGGGGAGGGGGAGTAGATGTTTACTGGTTAGAAAATACAAAGTAGAAGCAGCATGTTTAGGGAAATATAGAGCAGACACAGTTTGGTTTTTAAAATATAGACTTAGACAGGTTTAAGACATTTAGAGTAAACGCAGACAGATTCCCAAAAAAATGTAGAGGAGATGCAGACTGATTAGATAGATATAGAAAGAACTTAGACAGACTGGTTAGAGAAGTATAGCATAAATAGAATGTATAAAAACATAAAATATAAAACAAAACAAACAGAATAATGAGTATCTTGATATTCAAGACCATGATGATGCGATGATGTTAATGATATCATGATGATAATATAGATTTGATGAATATTTGATGTGATATAATGATATGATACGACGATTACGATGATTACAATGATGATTATATGAATTTTAACTCTTTCAGTCCCAGGAACATTACCCAGATAAGTAAAAGTCACCACTGTGAGTTACTTCCACACTGGGTGCAAGAATTGGAAGAATTGACTGTAGAAACCAGATTTCTTTAATATTCTCTTGACAGTATGTACACCAAAAAAAAAAAAAAAATTAATTAAGTTATGAATAGAAGCATTTTATTGATACAGAGGAAATGACTAACCACACAACTTGCGTTCTTTGGGTCTGAAAAAGTTAATGATGATGATACTGATGATGGGGATGTGGAGGAGCAAGATGGGATAATGCTGGATAATGCTATGATTTTTTGATGATGATAATGATGTTGAGACTGATGACGGTGATGTTCAGTATAGTGATGTCTGTGATGATGTGATGAGATGTAGCTGAAAGATACTGACCTTCTTTGACCATGCCGACAGCCAGACACTTCTGGAACCGACAGAACTGGCAACGGTTTCTTCTCCGCTTGTCCACAGGGCAGTTCTTGTCCGCCAGACACACGTACTTGGCGTTCTTTTGAACTGTCCGCTGGGGGATTATAGGCGTACAGGTCAGCTAGCGATGACGCATTATATTTTTTTTAATTCACAGACATATATTTAGCAGTCGCTGTGGCGGAGCGGCTAGACGCTCGCGTTCGGATCGGAAGGTCGTGGGTTCGCTCCCTAGCGGAGCCGGACTTTTTTCAAAAATGACCTTGATTCCCAGGTCGACCCAGCCTTGAGTGGGTACCGGGTGCAGTCCTGGGAAGTAAAAGCATCCGGCGTGATGCTGACTACATCACCCATCTTGTGCCGATTGGTCTATAAAAATATAGTTCTAGCCCTATATGCCCTAAACGCCTTAAAGCGTGGAAAGGGAATCTTTACTTTACTTACAGACATATAGTTGAAGTAACCTGCCAATTCACTGGACAGTCAGTGACCGGACGATTCGCTGGATAGTTAGTCCATAAACGAATCGACCAGTCAACCGTTAGTAGATGCTATTAATATTTTAAACAGCGTTAAATGTTATGGTTAAGCAAGAGCAAGGAAATCAAAGTCCAAATTATGAGAATCTGCATCTTCCCTTTAGCAAGATAAGAATCTGAGATGTGGACTATGTCCCAGTCACTATGGAAGATCCCCGAGTGGGTTCCGGGGCCCTATTGTGGGGGAAAACAAGAATAGACCCACTGCCTACCCAAAAGCATGTCGTAAGAGTCAACTAACTTGAAAGCTTCCTTTGAAGTCGGAGTGCATCTGCCTAAGAGGCAAGGAACCAGCAGACTGCATTTAATTGAATCAGATCTGTAAAACTGATGCACACGCAACACTCAGGTTCTGGAGCAGGACTGCAGCCCAGAAGTGGACGAACAACCAGAACTTTACGCCATAGTTTACAGCTGGTGAACGCGAAGAAAAAGAAGACTATGGAAGAAATGAGGGACTTTCACCTGAATTGACATGGAAAGATTCTCAGAATACCATGGACTACGAAGAAAAGAGGGACTTTCACCTGAATTGACATGGAAAGATTATCAGAATACCATGGACTAAGAAGAAAATAGGGACTTTCACCTGAATTGGCATGGAAAGATTCTGAGAATACCATGGACTAAGAAGAAAAGGGGGACTTTCACCTGAATTAACATGGAAATATTCTCAGAATATCATGGACTAAGAAGAAAAGAGGGGCTTTCACCTGAATTGAAATGGAAAGTTTCTCAGAATACCATGGACTAAGAAGAAAAGAGGGACTTTCACCTGAATTGTTATGGAAAGATTCTCAGAATACCATGGACTACGAAGAAAAGAGGGACTTTCACCTGAATTGACATGGAAAGATTCTCAGAATACCAAGGACTACGAAGAAAAGAGGGACTTTCACCTGAATTGACATGGACAGATTCTCAGAATACCATGGACTAAGAAGAAAAGAGGGACTTTTACCTGAATTGACATGGAAAGATTCTCAGAATACCATGGACTAAGAAGAAAAGACGGACTTTTAACTGAATTGACATGGAAAGATTCTCAGAATACCATAGACTAAGAAGAAAAGAGGGACTTTCACCTGAATTGACATTGAAAAATTCTCAGAATACCATGGACTAAGAAGAAAAGAGCGGCTTTCACCTGAATTGACATGGAAAGATTCTCAGAATACCATGGACTAAGAAGAAAAGAGGGACTTTCACCTGAATTGACATGGAAAGATTCTCAGAATACCATGGACTAAAAAGAAAATAGGGACTTTCACCTGAATTGACATGGAAAGATTCTCAGAATACCATGGACTAAGAAGAAAAGAGGGACTTTCACCTGAATTGACATGGAAAGATTCTCAGAATACCATGGACTAAGAAGAAAAGAGCGGCTTTCACCTGAATTGACATGGAAAGATTCTCAGAATACCATGGACTAAAAAGAAAATAGGGACTTTCACCTGAATTGACATGGAAAGATTCTCAGAATACCATAGACTGAGAAGAAAAGAGGGACTTTCACCTGAATTGACATGGAAAGATTCTCAGAATACCATGGACTAAGAAGAAGAGAGGGACTTTCACCTGAATTGACATGGAAAGATTCTCAGAATAACATGGACTAAGAAGAAAATGGGTACTTTCACCTGAATTGACATGGAAAGATTCTCAGAATACCATAGACCAAGAAGAAAAGAGGGACTTTCACCTGAATTGACATGGAAAGATTCTCAGAATACCATGGACTAAGAAGAAAAGAGGGACTTTCACCTGAATTGACATGGAAAGATTCTCAGAATACCATGGATTAAGAAGAAAAGAGGGACTTTCACCTGAATTGACATGGAAAGATTCTCAGAATACCATGGACTAAGAAGAAAAGAGGAGCTTTCACCTGAATTGACGTGGAAAGATTCTCAGAATACCATGGACTAAGAAGAATAGAAATACTGACACCGTTAAAGATCTGAACAGCAAGGAAGACTGGCTAGTAAACAGCTTCTTGTCTTGGAAACTGAAATATTGTGACATTATATGCACTACGGCGAACTGGGATAAAAGTTGCAGAAGCAATATTACAAAGAAAGAGGGGCATGGGCCGACCAGCAAGAAAATGTCTGAGGATATAGGTGACCCATTGAGTAGGAAAGTACACAAGGTGGGAAAGTAAGGTGGCGAGAAATAACGACAGACTGCGATGAGAGCGACGTTCTCTAAAAGACTTGCTGCATGATGATGATGATGACGATGATGATGATGGTGATTATGAAGAATAGTTAGACTGCTAGGTATGTAGACAGACAGACAGACATGGCGACAGACAGACCGACAGGCAGAAGGACGGACAAATTACAACTCAAACCAAGCATAGCGATCAAGGTTGAACTGGCACTGTCTTTTTTGTAAGGAAACACCATTTGACATGATATGTGGCAAAACCTTTCACCCTTCTGTTATCTAGTGTACCATATACATAGTACTTTCTTCTTTTACACTGCTACGAGTGTAAATCATTATGTATCATTAGGAGTGCAACAGGGAGTGGGAGGAAGGGGGTTGTGGGAGGGGGGGGAGGGGTGCAGAAAGAGCCGAGGTGCAGCTTTCTAAAACTTGTCCAGCGGTCAAGACTCAATGGACTTAAGCCTATTTGTTTTTAAATGCAGAATAACAACAATTATAATTTATTATTATTGTTATTATTATCTGCTGAATGGCAAATAAATATAATACGTTAGAAATGTATTAACAAATATTTCAAAAGAGAACTTCTAAACATGGTTAGGATGGTGAAGGCAGAAAGCCCACTTACACATTGTTTGATGGGTGGACACTCGGCCTCCCCTGTCAATTCCAAAAATTATATATATATATATATATATATATATATATATATATATATATATATATATATATATATATATATATATATATATATATATATATATATATATATATATAAAACAAATAGACAATGTATTGATCGGAGCTCATAAAAAGAAGTAGAAAGATATAACGACACAATAGACAACATACAAATCGAAAGCTTCAGTAACCGTGCTGAGAATCGAACCTGTAACCTTCAAATGGCGTGTGTACCTCGCTTTGGAAATAGGTGTACTAAGAATAAGACCAACTAGGCACCTCGAAAGAAGGTGTCTTCATTGGTCATGTTTATCATACAGCCTGAAATTAACAGCTATGGAATAAGGACATAAATCCATCTCGAAGCATTGAAATTGCACCATAGGTTACATAAATTTATATTACAAATAATTAACCAAAAATTATCACATTGAAGATCGGAGGAGTAAAATAAACTGCCCCCCCCCCCCCCCCCCCAAGCTCCGGCGCCAATGTCATTTATAACGTTTTTAATTCTCGTTAGCCATAAGAAAAATTCCTACCTTAAAAAATCCTTTACAGCCTTCACAAGTGCGGACTCCGTAGTGTTGGCAGGCGGCGTTGTCGCCACAAACAGCACAAAGTAAACTCTCTTTGACAGGCTGGCTTCCATCTCGCAGGGGCGGCGACCGGTTGTGGGGTGTTGGAGGGGTGCCTGGCGAGTGCAGCTGGTACTTCTGGAGCTCCAAGCTAACAGATAATCAACAGGGAGGGAAAAAAAGATCATTAATGAGTGGATAGGAGCAGGGGTCATTGTTATTCTCATGACAAGATTACACCCAAAAGAAAAGCAGAGCTAATCGGCTAAAAGCGGCTAAAAGCCTTCACAAGAACATAATATGAATAGATAATGTTATATTTACAAACAAAGATACACAAAGTAACTTTACTAATGTCTCTACATTATAATCAACGTGCGGGTCTGATCAGATGAAGCTCTCAGCCACGCGTACCTCATAAAAAGATGTTGAAGGCAGGGACCATAACGCAAACATATTAGATGCAGCTGTGCTGGTCGTTATGTCCCTTAGGCAAGCTAGACCCAGTTAGATAGAAAAAGTAGTTCTCAAGAGAATGACTGAATCTGCCATTGGAGTTAGTAGTATCATCATCATCATCATCATCATCACCGTCGTCATCATTATTACTTTTACTAAGCAAAGAAAGATACTTTTTGCGACAATGGCGTATAGGTATATGGTGCCATTTTAATACGACTGGGTGGCAAGCCATCTTTGCTTCCCAGTATATTTCCTGCTATCCATTTTAGGTTTTGTCGACCTTGAAAGCGAAGTTAATTATAAATCCACCTATTTAAGGTTGCAAACGCAAGATCAACAAAAAGCACTAACCACTGCCTGGCCATGCCTGTTACTATTTTTATTATTTATATATTTTAAAAATTCTTTGGTTATATGATGAGAAAAGGAGCACTGAAAAATATCGTGACGACTGGAAAATCACAGGTGGCAGCGCCAGAGGCAGACTAAAAGAAACGATGGTAGATGGTTTAAAACAGTGGCATGGAGGAATATCATCAGTGGAATGGATCCAGAACACCAAATACAGAGAAACAGTGTCGAGATACATCAACGCTTAGACCAGCTGGCAGGGCACTTAATGATGATGATATTAGTTTTATATAATCCATAGCTTGCTCAACTTCATCTCACAAATGAAAACAGAAGTACACTAGTACACTATGCACAAGCTACCTTCATGTTACACAAGTTATCCAAACATTAGGATTAGGATGTGTAGTAGTAATAATCGTCGTTTGGTGGTGATAATAGTAATAATAGTAGTAATAGTAGCAGAGATGGTAGTAGTAATGTAATTATACTACTATTTCTATAATTACTTATGCTATTAATACTACTACCACCATCTTAACTACTACAACTACTTTTACCACCTCTGCCACCCCTACAACTACTATCACTACTACTGCTGCTGCTACTACTACAACTATGTGCTAGCCTCATCGGAGGGGGGGGGGGAGAGAGCAACTGTGGTGCAGTGGCTAGACGCTCGCTTAAGGATCGTGAAATAGTCGTACATTTTTATTTCAAAATAACATTGGCTGCCTGGTCGAGCCAGCCTTGTGTGGGTACCAGGTGTCATCCTGGGAAGTACTTACTTCATAGTTAGAGTATATTTGTGTATGTGTACTGTATTGTTCTTTATGTGCTGATGAAGGCTAATCGCCGCAACGTCCTTTGTTCGTTTATTGTGATCGAGTTTGTAAAGCTAACATTACTGTTTGTTGTTTCTTACTAACTTTTTTTCTTACCTATAATTTTCTACTCCTTTTAAAATCCTGGGAAGTAGAGACGACCGGCGTGACCTCGTCAACCATGAAGTGTCGATTGGTGTATAAAATAAAGGTCTAGCCCTATATGCCCAATATGCCTAAAAGCGTGGAAAAGAGACATTTTTAGTGTCAGTGAGGATATCACAGCCATCTCCTGGTACCTGTTGTACTCGCGAACGGAAGGAGCGAAGTCTGAGATTGAACCGATGACCTTTACACACTGAAAGTCTTTTGCTTTTAATTATACTGGGGAAAAGGTGGAGGGCGAGGTGGAGTTAAAGAGAATGAGAAGCAGGTTCAGGAAGGGTAGAGGATGGGAAGGAGGCGGTGGAGAAGAAGAGAATGAGGAGGAGGTGGAGAGAAACAAAAAGGCGGGAGTGGAAGGAAGATATGGAGGGTCAGGTGGAAAGGAAGATAAGAGGAGATGAAAAGAAGAAAAAGGCTGATGAGAGGAAGAAAATGAGGGTGAGGTTGAGAGAAGAAGAAATGAGGTTGGCAGTTGGAGAGAAAGAGAAGAGGGAAAAGGGATGTGTAGGAAGTTAGGAGTAAGTGTTGCAGGAGGAGGGGAAGGTTGTGGAAAGGAGGACAAAGAAGAAGAAGACAATAAAAACGCAGTACCTGTCAGCACAGGCTGGGGTTGGTATCGTCAGGGAGGTTCGCCTGTGAGGGTGGTGCAGGTGTGTTGAGTGGTGAGCGGACATCGGAAGGGACAGGTCGCTCCTATAGGCAGCTCCGTGGGGCACCCCTGGGGCAGAAAAAGGCATACCAGTGGAGCAGTGGGTCCCCTGACCCCCATAGAAAGCAGGGTGGTATTGTTGGTAGATACTAGGGCCTTCAGGGCAGTAGGGCCCTGTGTTCGAGACATCGTAGGCGGCGTGTCCGTAAAGATTGGTGGGTTTCTGTTCGAGGTCTGAGTATGACAGCGATGTCTGGGGGAATACTAGGTCCTGCGTGCTGCTTTCTGAGAACGGATGCTTGGCGTAGACTTTAGAAGCATCCATGGCGAAGTGGGCTTTAGCTGTGGAGTCTAAGTAGCGCTGCTGTTGTGTGTAGAAATCTGGTTCGTGGCTGGGGAACACGGGGGCGTAAACATCTTCCACCATACTGTGTGAAGTGGCTGACGTATATTTGTCAATAGTCGCCGTGTCGACGAACATACTAGCGCTGGTGCAGATGGCCCGGTGACTTGAGGTGATGGTGGTGTTACTGCTGTTCATACTGTTGTTATTGGCTGTTGTAGTGCTGTTGTTGTTGTTGAGGTTGATACTGTTGGTGGTGGTGGGGGTGGATGTTGAGGCGTATGAACTGTGTTTCGTGGGTTCCCGCTGGTGGATGTAGCTAGTTTCAAAGCTGTATGTGTCTATGTAATCAGATCCTGCGACCTGCTGCTGCTGCTGATGCACCTGGTCGAAGCTCATCCCACTGGACTGGCTGTTGTCATACCCAGGTGAGAAGTGGTCAGGCGACAGGTCATCCCCACTGTATGACGTCACGTCCGGTTGGAAATCATGCATCGGCAGCGAAAACGAGGCCGCCAAGATGTTGATGTCGGCCATTGCCGACTGTGACGTCATTGTGTTGCTATACGTTCCGGAAGTGAAATGACTTCCGGGAAGTGCGCTACCGCCAGCGTCGTAGCTTGCCTGTTTGACAAAGAAAACAATATTTATGTATCATTTTCATTTATTTATACAGTATTGATGCTTTATAATGCTTATCAAGGTAAAGGCATCTGCAGACAAAAATTGACACTGTGCGGAGTATCAGACCTGACATATACAAGGTCAGATTATAAGGAGATAGGTTGTTCACTTTACTTTCACGTCCTGTTTACATTTTCACAGGTAGTTTTGAGAGAGAGGCTTTACTAATCCTGAATTATGATTCCTCAGTCAGGGTTTTAACTTTGACCCCTGTCTCAGTAAGTGAGTCACCAAACATTCATCAGTACCTTCTCATGGATTACTGTGTCTTTTCTAGTTCATAGTTTATTCTTCAGACTTCTGATAAAGGCAAATGGTAATCTTTACATAAAGCAGCAATGACTTCTTATTCTTTCTCTTATGTTTTTCTATTTTATCCGCATCACCGTCATCACCATCCTCTTCCTCATCATTCTCAATCTCATCAGTATAGTATGTTTTTCTTCTTCTTCTTCTTCTTCTTCTTCTTCTTCTTCTTCTTCTTCTTCTTCTTCTTCTTCTTCTTCTTCTTCTTCTTCTTCTTCTTCTTCTTCTTCTTCTTCTTCTTCTTCTTCTTCTTCTTCTTCTTCTTCTTCTTCTTCTTCTTCTTCTTCTACTACTACTCATCTTCTTCTATTATTACTACTACTACTATTGTTGCTGCTACTGCTTCAACTATCACCACCACCCACTAACACTGCTGCTGCTGTTACTACTATTACTATTGCTACTGCTATTTATTATTCCAGCAACTGATACTTTAAAAAAAATTAACTGCTGTTAAAAATAGCATACAGTTATACCTCGGTACACTTTCGCTTTGGTATATGACTAACGTAGTTTACGTCCTGTTTAGACGCGAAAACTTTTTTCTGGTATACCGCCTTTATTAGAAAACAAATTTTTATCAGTCAAAATTAGTCACGAAACCTCAGGGTATCTTTGTTTACCTGTCTCGAGACAAAGGCACGGATAGATGACATTGACTTTAAAGAGAAGAAAACTTTAACAAAGCTCAAATCACGGCTAGCATCAGCAGTAAGGCCAAATAGGTCTTCGGAAATTCCCGTTTTGTTAGACCGAGGCACGGTCGGTCTGTGCTGACCATTGTTATCGAAGAAATTTCTACACAAATTAAACTACAGTTTAACTAACTTGTGATATATTTTATTAAATATTTTATTATTATTATTATTATTATTATTATTATTATTATTTTTATTATTATTATTATTATTATTATTATTATTATTATTATTATTATTATTATTCTGTTTTCTAAAGACTCACTTATTTATCTTTATAATGATAATTCATTAAATAGATATGTTGGAATTTAATTAAACCGTGTGTATAAATTTCTTCGATAACAATGGTGAGCAGATCCCGGGCGTGGATCGGTATAACAAAACGGGAATTTCTGTATAAATGTATATGATGTTTCCTATACTTGACAGTTTATCATTAAGACGGACATGTCTATTAACTATCACAATCCATTCTGATAAACGGATCATCAATCAGCATGTCTTTTACAGAAGTTTGCTCTCTTCACGGCATACCTAAAGGTATTTCTTTATCTAGCCAATTTGCCAGCCCTGTGTGCTTTCACAGTCAGTGCATCTGAAGTGTATTGTATCCAAGTTCGCAGAGGTCGGCCTCTATATTATTTTGCGCAAACTGAGTCCTCCATCTCCGTTCTGTCCAGAACACTACAGGGCACAACATAGAATAATGTTGAAGCTAATGAAATAATTATAGAAATGACAGACAACACCCTAGATTTGCAATCTTTAGAGTGAGAGTATATTAAAAGTTATGTTTAACGGGAGGGGGGGGGGGATACAAAGTGAGAAAGAAACAGAGCGCGAGAGAGAGAGATGGTGGGATGTACAGACATATAGACATGCGGCAAGACAGACAGAGACAGACAGACAAAACAGGAGAAAGCTAAAACACATGGTTTCAAATGTTGCTATTGAAACAGACCAGAATGAAAATGATCGTGGATGATTTACGAGTCGAACAGAAGGGATCGCCGCACACCAGCGGCAGCACTCCCTGTCAGACCGGCTGCTCTAGCAGACGTCACACGTCATTGATGACCAGGCACCCGAAGCACGTGGCCCGCGCACCGTTGTAATCGGGAGAGCCCGGCCGTGCGCAAACTGTGGACAATAAATGCGGTATCTTCCAGGATTGCCTTGGAGAATTTTGCAGTTTTTTTTAAACAAGATGGTCGGTGACGACACGTTTTGTAGCTAATCGGAACAACGTCCGAAGAATTCAGAAACCGGAAACTTGACTCAATGAAAGAAATGCAATGGCGCTTGGAAATGAGTTTCTCTGATGACAATTGCTGAGAGAGCGTTTGCTTGGGGATTTGGGGATGAGGGTTTGTTTTCCTGGGCGAGACAATTTGCTCGAGTGATCGCCAGCGGGAGTTGATTGCCTGTTTTGTCGGCTAATGTCCTGTTGTTTTGGGCGATTGTAATGAGTACAGCTTTGATATCTGTGCCCAGGCTAGAATTTAATGTTTGAAATATCTGAGTGATGACATACCCTTGATTGTATTGGTCACCAGAAGCGTGGTTTTGTTTCTGCCAGATGCTACTGGGAAAAGTGACGTTTTCTCAACTGTAAACAATGTCATGAACCACTTTAACTCTTTAATTGACTGATTGATTGATTTACTGATTGATTGATTGAAATATATGTCTTTTAAGAACTCTCTCCCCTGAAATATCAAAGATATATTGCTTACTGCATTCTTCATTTTATTAAGCGATGTCTGTACTTGGATTAATCGACTTTCAAAATCTTCATTAAATGGTCTATTTGCTGCTATCATTTACCTTATTACGTAAAGACATTTTTTTCTCCTTCTTCGTGTTCACTGGCTGTACTCTCCGGCGGAAAGTTGTGGCTGTTCGTCCACTTCTTTATTTGTGTTTTATAACTTGAGTGTTGCATGTTCATTTTTAACAGATCTGGCCTCTGAATGCAGAATGTTGATTTCTTGCCACTTAGGCAGATGCACTTTGACTTCAAAGGACACCCCTAATTAGTCAACTCTTGCGACATGCTTGTTAGGGAGGCAGTGGCTCTCTTCTTGGTTTCTACACTGTTGGGCCTCAACCCTATAAGGTGAATTTGAACACACTGATTTTAAACAGTTACAACTTCTTTTTCTATCCTTTTGTCAGAAAAACTGACATCAGGAAGCTGAAAGCTATCATGCAGTCCGCATCTCCCCGTGTACAGCGGTGACTTGGCTGAGGTCTCATCGTCATCATCATCGGGTGCCTTTTACACTGGCGTGGGTGATCATGCCTCTCAACAATCCACGATCTCCTTCAGCATGTATCATTTCGTGTGCTGACACACCTCCATGCCATGCAACAAAACTGTCAAACATCTTCTCTCGTTGTCTTCCTCTGTTTCTCCGTCCACAAATCTTTCCAGTTGTCACAACATGTTCCATTTTCCATCTTCTCATAACAAGGCCGAAAAATGATGACTGTCTCCTTCTGCTGTCTGTGACAACTTGTCTTCTGGCTCCGCCCTTTTTCAAAACCTCTTAGCCGCTCTTTTTGGCTGTCCAAGGTATTTTAAACATTATTCTGTAAAATCACATCTCTGAGACCTCAAGAAATTGTTTGCCTGCCTACCCATTGTCCAGGACTCATAATTATATGTTAAAACTGGATGTATGTAGCATGCAAAAATTTTTTTTCTAACCTTCAATAACATAGCTATATTACATTAGGTGTTCTTTATTTTATACAACGCAGTTTTTGCCTGTCTTAATCTGTTTCTTATCTCAATAATGCATATTACATCGGATGTTATCCATCTGCCCAGATACGTACATTTCTGTACTTTCTCCAAAACAACACCATTGACTGGGGTCTAAACAGGGCAAATCACTTCTCTGTTGGCAGTATCCAGCGTTGCAAAACATCTTCAGCATTTTCAGGAGCCATGTTGCAGGGACGTTGCGTGTTTCCTCCACGGAAAAAAAACTTCAGTATACTATCTATATCCTCTCCGTGTCGCTGTGTACACACAGGGCAGACATATGTGATCTCCGTTGCTGCAGGTCTGCTACTTTAATGCCTATAGTCCCGTGTCATTTTATACTTCGTTATTTCTGTTTATACAATCCTTCTCCAGGTTTCCTTAGGTCATTCAAGCGTCCATTTTCATCTGCCGTCTTCCCCGAGTAGTTTCTAGAGCCCCATCGTAGGGGAGAACAAGAATAGAACACCTGCTTACTGCCCCCAACCCCACCCCACCCCTCCCCAAGCGTGTCGTAAGAGTCGACTAATTTGGAGCTTTCTTCGAAGTCGCAGCGCATCTGCCAGAGCCGCAAGGAATAACTAGGTGCGCACAAATAAGCCAGTAAAACAGATATACATGCAAAACTGAGGCCCTGGCACAAAAGCAAATTACAAATTAAAAAACAGCCAGAACTTTTCGCCGGATCTAACAGCCGATGAACAAAGAAGAAGAACTGTCGTCCATCGAAGAGTTGTCCTTACCAAAGTGTCAAGAGGCATTCTGCAATAATACCTGAGCTATCCATGTTGGTTAAAAAACAAAAAAGTCGACCATGTTGAACCTGATGCTGGCAGCAAAGCTAGCTGCAGTCTCCGGTTATATTTATGGTCTGGTTTATTTGTACCATGTGTTTGGCTAAGACTGTGGTGTGTGTGTGTGTGTGCGCGCACGCGCGCGCGCTATGTGCATGGCTTTTTGCCTCTAATGAGGTCAATTGTCCTCTCCTCCTCTTGGTGTCTGTATGTTATCTTCTGTCTGATTGACACTTTGAAAATAGTGATCTTCATGGGCTAGAAACCCGAGCTCCAGTGTAGAAATATCGTAAGTAAAGTAAAGATCCCTTTTTACGCCTTAGGCCCATAGGGAATATGGAAAGAGCATCCCATATTTTTACTGACCAATCGGCACAAGGTGGGTAATGTGGTCAGCATTACGTCAAGAAAGATCGTTAATACAAAACAGCTGGTCATAAGCCGCGCGGCCATTTGCATGGGACGCGGGCCGCCAGTTGAACAGCCTAGCTTCAAGCTATCTCCGTATTCTTCCCTTTATAACGTTAGCCAATGGAATATACTACAACAACGATAATAATAACGTTACAGTTAAAAACAACAACTTAACAGTGGTACTCACTTGTGGCTGAAGAAGCAACATGGATCTATCTTGGTTAATCAAATTACAACCTAATCCAGACTCAACCTCGAGATGCTGTTGCTGCTGTAGTTGCTGCTGTTGATGGAGGTAGCCCTGATGCTGTAGATGATGATGCTGCTGCTGCTGCTGGTGAGAGTGAGGATGGGGCAGGTAGTAGCGGCGACTGAGGTCGTAGGTTGGTGAGATGCTGGTGCCACTTTGACTCGGGCTCGGGCAGTGCGGATTGGTAGATATTCCTGGGGAAGTAAAGAGAGATAGGTGTGCAGGCACAAAGGTACATTTACAGGTAGTCAGGTTGTTACACAAATATACACACAAATGCGCACACGCACAAATCTACACAAGCAAGTACACACACAAGAACGTACGCAGAACAAGTACGCACGCAGGAGAACATACACAAGTTCTCACGCCCAGAAGTACGCACACACACACACACACAAGTACACATACACATACGTTCACACGCGTAAACACACAAAAACATACACACACAGGTACTCACACACAATTCTCAAAACAGCGCACGAACTCCGTGGCGTCAGTGACAAATTACACCCATGTATACCATAAAATAAACGCTATAGTCTTATTCAGGCCTTCCACATAAGAACAATTTCCTCGTGCAATAAACACACCAGCTGCATGCGATTAGTTAACAGACCGATTTGCTTTCACTTCGACAAAGGTATCGAAAACTCGAGAATCGACTATCAGAAGCAACGGAAACCTAGCAAATGTGAACAAAACAACATAACAAATCCTGGCGTCGTCTCTACAAAGTCACGTATGTAAACGATATTGTACACCACATCCCAACCCCCGCACCCTCCCTCTCATATTTTTCCTCCAACTTTTTTTTTTAAATGGATAATTAATTAGCTACAAAATAAAATATTCTATAAACTACGGGTAGTATTAAAATAATATTTAGGTTTTTAGGTTTTAAACAACAGATCAACATTTTGACACACGGGTAGTAACCCATAAGTGCTCCGTTCTTCATCTAACTGAAGTCTGAGTCCGAAGAAGCTCACCACGGTGCACAGACTCTGTAGCACCGGCAAGGATCCTGAAATACTTTGGGTAGATTTTTAACTTCAAGTGTTGCCTGGGCAGCCCCGCCAGGCTACTCTTTTCGATTTACAACCGATAAGGGATTTTTTTCCGTGCGCAGCAATACACACGGGCGTCCGATCTCACTGCCCAGAGACCAGGGGGAATGACTAGAAGTCTAAGTCCACGCGATAATAATCGCAGCCCTTACCGGGGATTAATCCCAGAAACTCTAGCACTAGAGGCGGACTCCATGACTCTAGACCACGTAGCCCATTGCAGCTTTTACTTCTGCGTACATTACCTTTTACCGATTTTATGTTGTGTCGACCTCAAAGCATGGGTCAATTCTGAATAAAATCAAAAATCTGAAATCGGTCCAATAATAATAATTATAAAAGTGAACGCCCTTTTTCACGCCCTTTTGTCGTATCGGGAAAATGGGAACAGCATCCCATATTTTTACACACCATCGGCACTATGTGAGTAATGTGGTCAGCCTTACCCCGGCCGTCTTTACTTCCCCAGGACATACATCCTGGTACCTATTTAGGGCTAGGTCGACCTGCGACGTCGCATACCATGATAAAAATCCACGCAGCCAGCAGTAGGTTTTCGATCGTGCTACGTTGGAATTACGAGTCGGACTCGTAACGCCTAAGCTACGGAGACCGTGCAATAATAATAATAATAATAATAATATTAATAATAATAATAATATTAATAATAATAATAATAATAATAATAATAATAATAATAATATTAATAATAATAATAATAATAATAATAATAATAATAATATAAATAGCAATAGTAAAAAGAAAATTATCTGACAGGCTGTTTTCTCTACAATAGGAATCTAATATAGCTACTGACTGCGGAGAGCACTGATAAACTGACGTTTTGTAGCGGCGAAGTAAACTTCTAAAAGTAGACTTCTAAAAGTAGAATTTGGATTGAAAATTGATTGACACTGACTGAAAATTAACATGTGAAAAAAAAAAAAAAAAGATTTAATAATTTATTGAAAATTGCAATTTTAATTAAATTTGTGAATAGCTAAAAGGAAATACAATTACTACTACTACTACTACTACTACTACTACTACTACTACTACTACTACTACTACTACTACTACTACTACTACTACTACTACTACTACTACTACTACTACTACTACTACTACTACTACTACTACTACTACTACTACTACTATTACTACTACTACTACTACTACTACTACTACTACTACTACAACTACAACAACAACAACAACAACAACAACAACTACTACTATTACTACTACTACTACTACTACTACTACTACTACTACTACTACTACTACTACTACTACTACTACTACTACTACTACTACTACTACTACTACTACTACTACTACTACTACTACTACTACTACTGCTACTCTCAATCTCTTACTGTGTCTGTACAGTAACGTGATTTCACTGCGAAATTGCAATCAAAAGGAAAATAAAATCCTTTAAAAGTTAAGGATACATACATATTGTGTTTAATTTTACAAAGTCAGGTTTAACCAACTTCGCTAGAGAGCCGGGCGAAACTTTAATATAAGTAGTAGCAACGTAACACTATAAACTTTAATATAAGTTGTAGTAACGTAACAATATAAAATGTAATATAAGTTGCAGTAACACTATAAACCCACGTTACGTTAAACAATAATATGTTATCTTCTTCTGTGTATTTGAGGTTCAAGGTTTCAACGCGGCGATGTTTCGTACTTTACGCTGAAGTAGGTTCTGTGTTGCATTTGCTTTCTCTTGCATTTCCAACCACTGGATGCCGTTTGATAATATTGTTTCCTCATACAGTATATATTTATCTTCAGCTTTATACGGCAGGGTCTACAATTAATCCGTTTATATTTTAAAGATGTCTGTTTTGCTTTTTGATCCACATACATTATTTAGACAGACGGGTGATATAAACTGACTGCTAATGACGGTTAATGGAAGTTTTACTGTATTAAATAGGTAACTTATTTGAATTATTAAATGTATAGAATTTTTTGTTCCTAATAAATACATGAATCGTAGATATTAAATAAATCATAAAATATTAGGGTACTAGTTCATAAATAAAATTAAAAAAAAAAATTGTTTGTTAAAATCAAAAAGTAAATAAATAATTAAAAAATTTTTATGCTGTGCAATAAATACATCATAATTTGCTAATCTTTAATAAATTTCATACTGTAAAGTAAATGTGAGTAAAGGAAAAGGAAGTAAGAGAACCCCAGTAATGCCGCAGCTAGCGCTTACCCGCTCGTGCTCGGTAGCTTAGATTCAAACACCCAGTATGGCAAATATTTAATGTTACAAAAAGACCCCCCCCCCCCCCCCCCCCCCCCCCCCCCCCCCCCCCAAAAAAAAAATAAGAAAAGTAAAGGTAAAGTAAATTAAAATTAAAGTAAGGCAGGGTAAAGTTAAAGTAAAGTAAAGTAAAGTAATGTAAAGTAAATTAAAGCACAGTTACATTAAAGTATAGAATATTAAAGCAAAGTAAAATAAAGTAAAGTAAAGTAAAGCTAAAGTAAAGTAAAGTAAAGTAAAGTAAAGCTAAAGTAAAGTTAAAGTAAAGTTTAAAAAAAGTAAAAGTAAAGTAAAGTTAAAGTAAAAAAAAAGTTTAAGTAAAGTTAAAGTAAAGTAAAGTTAAAGTAAAGTAAAGTTAAAGTTTAAGTAAAGTAAAGTAAAGTAAAGTAAAGTAAAAGTAAAGTTAAAGTAAAGTAAAGTACAGTTAAAGTAAACTTAAAGTAAAGTGAAGTTAAAAAACAGTTTTAGTAAAGTTAGTAAAGTTAAAGTAAAGAAAGTTAAAGTTAAAGTTTAAAAAAAGTTAAAGTAAAGTAGAGTGAAATAAAGTAAAAGTTACAGTAAATTAATGTAAAGTTATAGTTACAGTCAGGTAAAGTAAGGTAAGGTACAATTAAAGTAAGGTAAAGCTAAAGTCAAAGTGAAGTAAAACAAACCAAAATGTAGTAAGTTTTCCGCGCCTTTATGCGTTTAGAATAAAACTCCACTATGGTGATTATTTTATGTTGACAATTTATGTAAAGTGATGTAACGTTGAGCGAAGCAATGTAAAGTGAAGTAATGTAAAGTAATGTTAAGTGAAGTAATGTAAAGTAAAATTAAATTAAATGTTGGAGTCTATTTACTGGTATAGAATACAACTAGTATATTACTTCTAGGCGTTGCAAAGGTAATTTCGAGGTGCCGGATTTGATTGCTGCGGAGCAATCTGGCAGCAGACAGCCTTACGTTGACATCGAGAACTGACCGTTTAGGACAATGGTAAACTGCTGAATGTAAAATTGATATCACACAACCCCAAAAAATGGCTGAAGCTGGTTCTGTGAAATATTATAAATATTTCGCAACTTACCACATGTCGACACAAAGATTCCTTGAGGCGCTCCCGCCCCGCCATCCCCACCCCTCCCCCTTTCTTCCAGCAGCTAAGCAGCCCCATTCAATAGAGTAGAGAAATTCACCATAGAAGTACTTTTTTATGCCTTTTATATATATATATATATATATATATATATATATATATATATATATATATATATATATATATATATATATATATATATATATTAGTATGTGTATTTATCATTCTGAGCATGTATTATGATTAATGCTGCTATTATTATTACGCTCTTAAGCTAGGACTATACTCCTTAAGCCTTCTCCTTAAAATAACATACTACAATGTTTTTTTCTGTGTCGACACAATCACCAGAATCACGGATCATGTCATTGTTCTTAGCCAGTCCATGTCACTTGGTCTTTCGTTTTTTTTTTTTTTTTTTCTTTGCCGTTCCTTTGCTTGTCTGACAGAAAGTTGACCCTGTTACCCGGACGTGTGGGGGATTATTTCTCCTCACGACATCTCACAAACTTATCTGATGATGTTAACATCACTACAAAACTGTAGAGGTAACAACAATCGTTTTGCCATTCTCAATAAAATGGAAATAATTATCTTTCTATTCCCAGTGTGCCGTCTAAACTGTGTTATGGTCATATTGCGCCCCAGTGTTGGACGCAATTTTGTTGCTGTTTTAAAGCCCCACTCTGGCTGTTGCCAGGGGCCCTAGTATAACTCTGCCTATGGGTTTAACGGGACTTATGGGACCTGTTCTCGGGTTATTAGCATCCGAATGACGATATTTTGTGTCAGCGGGTGTTTATCTTTGCGTGTGATACGTCCTGGAGGGGGGCAGTCAGTTCTGGGGCCTCACATTGGGAAGATAAAAGATCAGAATAACCTCCCCACCCCCCCTCCTTTTCCCCACCCCCCCTCCTTTTCCCCACCCCCCCTCCTTTTCCCCACCCCACCCCCCCCCTCCTTTTCCCCACCCAACGTTCACACAAAGCGACCTATTTAAAGTGTTGTAAAAAAATATGTCAAGAGGAAAGGCGGAGATATCTAAATCTAGCATTCAACCACAAAACAACTTGGTTATTGTCACTTTATGAACGAACGCAAAAAGAATACTGTCCTCTAAATTGAACATTATTTCTTTACCCTTTGCAGGACATTTAATACTTACCACAGAGATAATTATTTCATAAAATTTAGACTGTAACAGAAATTAACGAAACAAAACGAAGACTTCAGGTTTTTATTTTTCATGTTCTGTAGTTATAATTTCCAAATAAAGCACTAGATCAAGGGCATTAATTAGGTATCGAAGTTTAAATATCTACAAACAGTCATCGGAAATTATATGAAGAAAATAACATCAGATGCAGTAAACAGCACACAAAAACTCATATAAAGCATATTCATTCCAATCCTCTGCTGCCAGTGCCAAGCATGGTCACTCGCAACACACTTTAACAAAAAATTAGCAATCATGGAAATGAGATGTCTAAGAAGGGTCGCAGAGGTGACCATAAGAGATAGAATTAGAAATGATACCATAAGAATCATAACAGAAAAAGTCGGTACAGAACTTAACGCAAATTACATAGAAAGACATTATATCAAATAGTTTACATACTTAAAGAGAATGCCCTGTGAAGCCATACTATACAAGACATGCAACAAAAGAGGAGCAGTATATAGACCACGAGGTAGACCAAGAACACTACAGAACGATAAGATCAGATAAACTCTACAACATCACGATGTGTCTGTGGTCGAGGCAGCCAGAACAGCAAAGAGAATACCATACAGAGTTTCACAATAAAGTTGTATACATTTGTCCTCAACGTTCAAATATTAAAATTAAACGAAACAAAACAAAAATAAAATGACAGATCTTGTGAGTATTAATTCGCCAAATTTCGATATTACAAAAAAAATTTGAGGAATAAAACGAAACAAATAAAACGTGTTTATACTTTTCTGTTGTGTACTTTATTCTCAAAAGTATTGCTTGAACAACAAATTAACGAAAGAAACTAAATTAAAGATAGAACGAAACAAAACATCAAAATAAAACTTACCTCTAAAATGGAACGAGTGGTGGTCACTAAAATTAGATACGGTCGGAGAATGGAATTTGAATTTCAT